GAAAGAGATTTAACAGAACAAAACAAAAAAGGGACAAAATAAAATAAAATAAAAATAAAAATAAAAGAAACAAAGGAAAGAAAGCAAAATAAAATAAAAACAGAGACAGGGCGTCCATCTTCAGCAGGCCAGACTTCGATCTCATTTCCCCCATGAAGGTTTCACTTGGCGGCAGGTTTAGTGGCATGGCAAACAAGGCCTAACTCAGGCAAGTGTAACAGGTCTGCCTTGGCCAGTCTAGTCATCTAATAATGCACAAATATCACACAGAGAAAACATACAAAACCAAATTAATAGTCAAAATCCATCTACCAGATAATGTGGACATAAAATTTAGAATGATTAGGGTGGCATCTTTGTTTATCTTTCAACCTTTGTGTTCTCAAAGTATAACTTTTTTGAAAGAAAAACCTACCAATACACACAAAAAAGTCATATTTCAACAACTTAATAATGTTACTTCATTTACAACTACACTTTTGCTAATTGTTTACTAAATGTCACGAATTTAACATTGTTTTCATTGTGTACTGATTCATATTCCCTTGGTTTACCACTGTTTAAATACACTCCAAATCTCAGATTTTATTCTGGTTTTTAAAATCAAGATTTCATAGCTCGATTTTACTTCTCCTCTATGTTCGATTCGGCGCATTAGATGTTTTATTACTGGCACCGTTGGCCAAGAATATCATTTTACCTCCTGGTAGAATATAGCTATTACTACTTTTAAAGCCCGTGACATACTCCACTGACTACATGAACAATGCATCATATGATACATAGTGAGTCAAAAATCTTGCACTGTGGTCTCCAAAGCCATATTTATCCCACACAATAAATTCCTCTGAAAGTTAAACCTACATAAATTCACATCTTTATAAATTAAAATTAGTGGTTCTGTTAGAAAGTTACATGGAAACAGCATTCTGACACCAAAAAAAATTTGATCTCACAACCCAATCACTTGTTCACCTAATTATGCATAAATCTCTGCGGGGTCCAGAATTATTTTGAACAGTGACAGTTTTTCTCTAATATGTTTTCTCAGAAATACCCAGTAAGTCAGCTACAAATGAGGCTGGAACAGGATTTGTCAGAACTTTGATTTTATTCTTTCATTCATTGTTTACCATCAAGAGAGACAGGAAAATGTAGGTTTACCTGCCTGTTGCCAGATCACCTCAGGCAGTGACCTCATCACAAGAAAAAACACCAGGAAGTGCTGTTCATTCATTAGGCGGCCATCTTCCCTCTCTGGCAGTACTGAACCAGTGTTAAGGTCTTTTTGATGAAATGTAAAACTAAGATCCTGAATAATCGGTAGTCAATTATTTAGGGGCAATTTTTCAGTAAGGACTCTGGTCTCATCATTAGTCTCTACAGAGCTTCAAGTGGATACAGCAATATCCTCTTTGTTGTTTAAGAACAAGTTCAAAAAATAAAACCAGAAAGCCCCCAAAACAAAGCACAAAAGCAACTAAAAATCTAGGCTTCACAAAGACAAATATATGTGCCATTTGTCCCTATGAAGAAAGCTACAAGAATAGGCAGTATATTGTCAGTCAGTCTAGCCTTTGGTGAAAGTATTTTGGTGAAAGTCTATGAAATTTTGGAGACTTGTCAGGGTTTGCTAGGAACATCCCAGATCATTATTAAAGCAGCACTAGTCTCATACTATCCAGATCATGATGTGGCAAGCATGCCAAAAATGGTACTCTGGGACCACTGTTAACAAACTCCATGAAGTCAACAGTATTTTTTGAACCAAAACCTGACTCCCACAGTTATAAAAGTTATGTTAATAGGAGGTATTTCTGGATGTGTTGCCGTTTATGGTTCAACCATTCTAAATATTGTTCACGGCAAAACAGCTACCATGTTCAAAGTGAAGCTAGGTTCACTCCACCAGACTGAATGTTCCCACCCCCAAAAAAGCAAAAAGTCCAGACCCAAATGGGCAGATGCTCAGTTCCACAATGATCCCAATGAAGTCAATGGGGCTCTGCCTAACTCCAGTGATATGCCTAATGTAGAGCGAGGCTTCATACAATTGTATTCAGATCTAGGGTACTATACGGTAACAATAAGAACTACCTTGTATTCAACGCATATGTAAAATGATGGCCTGAAAGATAGTTAAAGGAAGACTTGTAGATTTAGTATTCACCGAACATTTCATTTTATTAAGAGTTTTTAAAATGTTTTTCACTGGAAGCATTCTGTTCAGATCATCGCATTTTTAAAGAGATACTTAAAACAAGAAAGGAGTACCAGTACACATCAGAAAGCCTTTTTATGGCACACAAAGTAGTATCTTCCACAGTAACAAGCAAAGAAAAAAAAATTTTTAAATTAAACTAGCTGGTAAATATTTATATTGGAACAGTAATTATCACCACGAATGCTAAATATTTTAATTAGATAAATCTAAAATGGTCAAATGCGTATATCACGTGTGTTTAAGACAAAAGTGGGATTCAGTCTAAAGAAAATGGACAAATAATCTGTCTTTACAAAAAAAACCAAAACAACCAACAAAAACCCCATCATACCAAAGGTGATACATTAAGATCCAAGCTGCAATGTTATCGGTGCCAATAAACTGCCTAATTTTTCAGTGCTCCATTGACTTCAGTGAGAACTCTGTGAAAATAAGCTTGCTAACACACACCACATTGAAGGGAATTATTTTCTTTTCCCTCAAAATATGTAATTGTGGAAAACGGAATTATCCTAATTTAAATCAACTTTCTTTTATTTCTGTATAATTGGGTTTCTTCATTCAATTTTCAAATTTGTTTCAAGTCTTTTTTTCAAAAAGCAATAAAATAAAATAAATAACAACAGAGCACCACCTCTGTACATGGAAAGCTTAAAACAATTAGCAGACATGACAATGACCAACATTAAGGAAGAATGCCTACAATACCAACCTTCTGCGCAGGGCACAACTATCAAAGCTCTGTCAATAAAAACCGTGTTAGTTAGATGCTGGGCCACACCAACACTCGATGCTTCACGAAACTTAATATAACATACTTTGGAGGAAAAAGCAAGGGGTGCGTTGCTGCAAGATAAAAGGAAAAAACAATTAGTCACCTTAAATAGAAGTATGTGTGTATTTTTAAATATTACTCTTTAATAAAAATATAGGTTTTAGACTTCCTGGAAAAGTTAGCCAAAAGGCAAGAGAACAGAAATCTACTAATAAGCCTGCTTACTATGTCACTGAAAAAAGCATAGTATAGCATCTCCTCCACTTAATGGAAACTTACTGAAGACAAAATTCCAAATCAACAAAGCTAATTTTCTTTTATTATCTTGGTAAACAACATTGACCAGTACATTCCAAATTACTATTGTAAGTAGCATAGTCAAGTAAATAATTTATAGTTCATCTTTTTTTCCTCCAAATAATCCTTGTTTAGCAAAGTCAAACAACAACCCCAGTCATTTTTCATGCCTTAGTTTGGCATAGTAGTATGGGATAACACCAAAGGAGGAAGGAGGAATTCACTATTCAGCCAGAAGAAGGAAGACAATTTGTAATTTGCTTTCCCATTAGAAAGTATACCAACAGACCTGTCAGAAAGCACAATACATAAACATGGTAACCTTGATCAAAAACCAAACAAGCCTGCTTTAAAAAATGTATTACCTAGTCAAGGCTTGTAACCTTTATATAAGCATTTTATTTCTTCATATGAAGGAAGCAGAAATCTTCAGAGAATGCAATAGGATATTGCTGGAACATCAGCAATTACCATTTGAAAAGACCATCTGTCTTCTAGCAAAGTAGTAACTCATGGAAAATATACTTCATAAACTGTTTCATCCTGACCCTCCCTCAACTGAAACAGAAACACTTGTCAACTTTCTGGAAGTCCCAGAAGCAGTTCAAGCCATCTTGCAGTCCCTCAAATTCCAAGCAGGTACTCCCAAAGTCGTTGCACGGAATTAATCAGACTTCAGTATTTAACTACAAGCTCAGAAGTTTCAGATATATTATTTCATCATATTAACTGTATAAATGAACCAATAACAGTCTGAGGCAGGCATACTGGTATGTTTCTGGTTACCATAAAGGTAACACCTGGGGTAAAATATCTGGACAGCCAGACAACTTTAGAATGGCAGTCAGAAACATTTATGGTGGAAAATTCAGTGAAAATACACACGCCCAGGAGGCAAAAAATAAACAGGGCGTGGGAGAGACATAAATATGAAAGTCAACTTCGTGTACTTTAAAAAAACATTGCAAGATGACTACATTTCTTTGGCCCATTTATTTTCTTTGAAGCCACCAATGTCTTCACAGTTTCAAGCGTACACATTCAGAAGGGAAATAATTGTACAGAATGGCTTCTGAGCTACATTAAGGTCTTGGTTCAGCACATTTTCCAGCATCAGAGGAGACTGTGAGTTATGACTTTCCCGGTAATGAGCAGAAATGTTTCCATACAACTTTTAGTCTTACATATTCTGAAGAGCTAGACTTCGTGCACAGTAAAAAAAAAAAAATTTTATGGTCATGGGGTTTCTTTGTTTGTTTTGGTTTGTTGCGGGGAGGGTGGAAGGGGGTCTGTGTGGGGTGGCTGGGAGGAGAGTCCTTTGGGTTTTTTATTGTTGTTTGGGGTTGGTTTTGTTCATTTTTAAACACATATGTCAGTGTTACAACCCTAATGGCTGAAGCTTCCACTGAAATTTCTGTAGTCCAGACTGTTAAAGACTTATAACATCTCCTGGTTTGTTTCCTTTTTTGTTTTCATTTCTAACTCAAGAACACAATTCTACTCCAGGCAGTTCCAGGCCTCATAAATAATCCTTATAAATTTCAACATCTATAGAGTCAGCTCTGACAAGTGTATTTTTTATGATATTCTCCCCTTGGTATTTCCTGGATTTCAATCACAAAAGCTATGTGGAAAATATGTTAAAAAATACTAACATCAGAACACTGCTGCGAATAAAGCACTAAAAAGACATCTCGGTACGAAGTGTTTTCTGATGATCACAGAGGAGAAATTCTCTATAAGGAAACTACCTCTGCTGAAAACAGATCAATGCTGCATCTACATCAAGGGAGATGATTAAGAACCAAAAGATCTAAAATTTTAAAAGCTTTCACAGTGATTGAGTCCTCTCCTTTTATGAAGTGGGCCTCCTAAACCTCCCCTTCAGACTTCATAAGTCTTTCTTAAAACAGAAAAGCCTTGTTCTGTTTTTGTTCCTTTTGTTTGATTTTTTTCTGCTAACCTTTTCTCAAGCTGAATTGAGGTAGGGTCATAGTCTTCTTCCCAGGGTTACAAAGCACTGATGTAAAAAAGCAACTCCTACATCTCTCATTCAAGGTTACTACAATCCAGTTTCTTTAGGACAGCAAGAAAACTCAAAAAGGAAATAAATATCTAAATCGTATTCAGACCTTTCTGCCATTTTTGTTTTCCTTTGTAGGGACACAGTAACATCCACCTCCCAACAGAGTAACAACCAACCAAAACCATCTCATAAAAATGACCTATTCAGAAAGCTACAGTGAAAAATCAAACAAAAGGCTACAAAACATTCCTCTAAGGGTTCAGATTTTCTCAGGGGGGTGGTGATGGAGGAGAGAACAGAAATCAATAACTTATCAAAATAAGATGTTATGGAATAATTGTGCAGATCACAATTTAATAAGGCTGTGTGTGTTTTAGCTCAAAGACCTCATCTATACTGCAGTCACTGCAGGATATAACAACATTTAAGAAACACCTGTATGTTCTAGCCTCCAAGACCACTCCAGAAGCAAACAGCACTACACACCAGGACTTTCAACACCTGCTGCAAGTTTGGGCCTCCTTGCTCTCAAACAACTCATTCTGCAAAAATCCAGCTGTTGCTCAATAAAGCGTTTTGATATTTAACCATTCAAAAATCCTCTTACAGACAGATTTGAAGGCTTACCACTACAAATGCAATTTTGAAGGATTCTCTGAAACACAGACTTCAACCGGGCGACAAGCGTAACAAAAAAAGCAAGACTGGGACTAAGAATCTGATTACAGACATCACTGCTCTCCTAGTAAGCCGAAAAAGAACTCTAAGCTGTATGAGTGGCTGGCATACTGGAGTACCTATGCAAGGCAAAGGACCTGTCACACCCTGCAAACCAGTTTCAGATTTCAAACATCAAGTCATCTATAAAAGCTCGTCTCCATCTTGTGGAAAAACTGCGAGAAAAATAAACCATACTTCATCTTCTCGACAAAGTCTATTTAAATAGCCGACAGAAAGGTAACAAATACATACTTTCTTGAACAACACATTTTGTAAATTTAAATGTAAGTATTTTCAGGCTGTTAAAAGCAACACACGACAAAGGGACAAAAGTTTAAGGGAATATTCTACAGACGGAACGCAATGCAGTATATGCTCTCATGCGCTTGCATATTCAAATGCCGGCATCATCACCAAGTGTGCTTTCTCAGAGTCCTTCTGCACATGTGGGCTTGCAGGAGGCCTCTTTCTTACCTCCTTAATGGCCTCTGAGTATTCCCACTTGAGAAAACTCAGTAACCACTGGAAGTTTTGCAAACGGCAAACAGAGGAGCTCCTGTTAAAGAGTGACAGCAATTCTCCATTCCCAACATGGGAATTCAGATCTCTAGACAAATCAGGACCATACACAGGTATTCAAAACTCCACAAGTTTTTCCTCAGACTTTGTGAGAAAACAGCACTGTAGCTGACAACGAGGCCCCAGTAAAGCCACCCTATTCTACACTGAAGTGGCAAATCCACATGGAGACCCTCATGCAGTAACAACTCTTAGCACACAAACTAATTGTCTTACACAGTCTGTGGCTGTAATATTATTTTCTGTTGCTGTTGACTTTTTGATCCTATCTAACCAATATTTTCCAAGTCATTTCATATTCACCTATAACTTTTCCTTACAATACCTAAGTTAATAATTTAGCTTCAGGAAGAAACCAGAACTCATCTGGTAAAATTAGAAATCTGCAATTCAGCCATCCTGCTTTTCTCAAAATGTAAGCAAAAGGGAAAATATGATACATACAAGTCAATTATAAAACCAAACAACACTGAAATCATAGGATTTTACAATCACCCCTTACTTTCTGAACATCTTTCATATAAAGTTGGTTGGAAAAAAACCAACAAATTCTCAAAGAGTCTCCACATATCCTTCTTCTCAAGATTAAAGCTCTGTTTATGGGACAGGGAAGAAGAGATGGCCAAAAAGCTTGGTAATGAAGTGGAATAAAAGGGGTCTTTGAGCCAACTACAGCAGTCTTTAAGTCTTAGAAGGAAAGGGTTTTTTGATACCAGTGACCAGGAAGGTTAAACCAATACAGCAGACAGATGCAGCATAATTGTTAGTCTCTTTGAGATCTTGATGATCAAATACAAATTCAGAGTGAAATGAGTGGATTTAAAAAAAAATCCAACTCTTTTCCCAGCTGCACATTACTTACACTTGTTTACTGATTTATTCAAGGTCCACAAATACGTGCCTTCAATTTTCAGATTAAAGTTTCAATGGAAAGCGTTCCAGAGAGCAGAACAGTATACAGCTGTACAATCAAGTCAAATTTTATATTTTCTTGTAAGAAAATAAGTAAATACAAACAACAGCCACCAGTAACAAGCACCTCTGACCCACTGGAAGATGATTCACGTTAATGGTTTTCCAATTAAAAGAAATATTGCCTGCCATGCCAGTGAATCCTCACTGACATGTAGCTAAAATCGGGATGATGACCATATGGAAACAACTTCTTCAGTGCCAAGAGTTTCCAATGCCTTTAACACTGAATCTGAAGGTCAACTACTCACAGTTCACAACAAGCCTCTTCGGAACATAACAGTAATAACAAAGTAGCATTTACTGCTATTTGCATAAAGTGTGAAAGCTCTAATACACAAGACAGAAACTTCCTCCCAGGGAACTAGCCTTTCAGAAGGCACAAAATCCATCCTTCTTAAAGGGATGTCTGATTAGCAGTGACTAAAGAAACTGAAGGGCTTTGACCAATGAAGATAAAACATGAAGTGA